ATTTCCCCCGCTGCTTGGCCAGGGAAAACATTGCTTGTGATGTGGATGAGGTGCTGTGGCCAGACCGCAACAGAACAGAGGATGCAGCATATATATATATATATATATATTTTTTTTTTTACTGTAACTGTATACATTCAATTCTTCTGTTTTGTATGTAGACCACTGTATATGCAACTTTGTGTTGGTTGGGAATGGGATGTACACTGTGTACATTGTTTTTGTGGGAAAAAAGAAATATATTTGTTACCGTGTATTTGTGTGTTCTGAGTATAAAAACAATATTCTCAAATATTTTACAACACACTTATGTATGTACTGTCTGTAGTAATGGCAACACTGAACCAAAAAAAGGCCTAAGTCATTATGATGAATGGAGAATAAGTGTTTTCCATTCATCATAGTGTTTTACATTGAGCACATCAGTGTTCAACTGGTTCTTATAAATGTCTATTCATATGATGGTTTGTGTGTGTCATTTGAAAACAAAATACAATTTTGATAAGAAATAACATTGTTTTGAATGTAAAGTTTCATTTTGCTGGAGAATTGAGGGGTTTTGCCCATTGTGTGTGTGTTTTTTGATTTGTGTGTAGAGTTCTGAGAATATGAGGCATGCTTTCAGAAAATGTGTGTAAACAATCGAGAAAAACTGTAATATAAGGAATTTGAAATTATTTATACTTTTACTTTTGATACTTAAGTACATTTTATCAATTACATTTACTTTTGATACTTAAGTATATTTAAAACCAAATACTTTTAGACTTTTACTCAAGTAGGATTTTACTGGGTGACTTTCACTTTTACTTGAGTCATTTCCTATTACAGTTTTTCTCCATTGCTTAAACACAATTTCTGAAACCTTGCTCCATTTCCTGAAAACATTAAACACAAAACCTCATCTTCAAGCACTATTTACAAAACCTCTGACTCCTCTCGCAAAATGAAACATTCGCCTCAAAACAGTTTTACCTGTGTTCAAAATCAAACACTGCTCTCAAATCATAAACAAAGTGATCAAAATGATATACACTCTCAAGCAGTCAGTAAACAATACACCGACATTTTTTAAACACATTGTTCAAAACATACAGTTCTCAGGGAGAAGTACATTTTTAATCTCAAAACAAATATCATATTTTTCCGTCATTGTCTTTTGATGAACGAAAACATGTTCTATCATAGTAGCTCAAAATGGAGCAGAAATTACTACTCTGCTTTGCTCTTTGCAATTTTGTTTTTTGTTCTTCGTCCTCCTTGTACCCCTATTTTTACAGTACTGTGCCCTGCATCTCACAAACGTGTCCTTTGTCTCTGTGATACTGTAATTCTTGTTCTTTGTTGATATGAACCTGCAACCAGTCAAAATCTATTGAGCAGTCAGTACTGTTAACAAATGGAAAGCACAATGTTCAGGGCCATACAATTCGTCCATTGTACAGTATACAGCCTACAATGCACTGTACTACAGTATACAATACTAAAAGGGACAAAAATACAGTAGTATACTGTACCTGTTCTCTTCTCTGAATGTCCTTACTATGGTGGACACAGAAAATCGGCTCAAATTGGGTTGCACTCTAAGTCCTGCTTCCCTCATTGTCAGTCCATGGACAAGAACATGGTCTATGACTGTTGGTCGAATTTCATCAGATATTTCGACTCTTCGTCCTCCTCTTCCTCTTTCTTGCCCTCCTCCTCCTCTTCCTCCTCGTCGCCCACCTCGCATACGCACTCGTCCTCGTCCTCTCACATTGTTTCTTCTATCCATTCTCATACTTTCTCCTTCAACAACCCGTTTGCTCTCTGAACTGACTTATATTGGTTGTGTCGCATCATTTGAAACAGGTTAAATCAATTTTTAGTGGCTGTGTTCAATCAATGACATGTGTTCTCTATTTGTATTTGATTGTTGCCACTTGTGTTTACCAGTATGGATGACATGTGCATTAGAGTGCAGAATGTGTTTTGAGAATGAGAATGTGTTTAGAGTTTTGCTGAAAAGTCTAAGTGAGATCTGCAAATTGTGTTTTACCATGTGAAATGGTTTAAGGTATTGACAACAGACTGCATAATTACCTAGATATCTGTCTGTCTGTCTCTGAGGAACCCACTTTAATTTAGGAAATGTTTCAATCGTAGGGTTGCAAAACTCCCAGCAATTGACCAAAGTTACAGGATTTTTCAGAAACAATGGTAATTAACAGGTTATTATAGAAATCTATGGGAATTTATACTTCAATTATTCGTTTTTTTTAACAGATTCTTTATATACACTGAGTGTACAAAACATTAGGAACACCTTCCTAATATTGAGTTGCACCCCCTTTTGCTTTCAGAACAGCCTCAATTCGTTGGGGCATGGACTCTACAAGGTGTCGAAAGTGTTCCAAAGGGATACTGACCGATGTAGATTCCAATGCTTCCCACAGTTGGCTGGAAGTCCTTTGGGTGGTGGACCATTCTTGATACACACGGGAAATTGTTAGAGCGTTAAAATCCCAGCAGCGTTGCAGTTCTTGACACACTCAAACCGGTGCTCCTGGCACCTACTACCATACTCCGTTCAAAGGCACTTAAATATTTTGTCTTGCCCATTCACCCTCTGAATGGCACACATACACAATCCATGTCTCAATTGTCACAAGGCTTAAAAATCCATCTCTAACCTGTCTTCTCCCCTTCACCTACACTGATTGAAGTGGATTTAACAAGTGACATCAATAAGCGATCATAGTCCATAGTTCATAGTCATAGATCATATTCCCCGCATTTTAAATGGGTGTTGCACAGATACCATGTTTTTACATGGAATTTAGATTTCTTGGTAAAATTAAATGTAACCACATAACTACTTTTAATTTGAAACTACAAGCAGTTCTTTCTTTTCATTTTAACAATAGTTGAATATCTTATCTTCAGCTACTGTGTATAGCAGAGTAATTATATTGCGGTTAATATGGGTACTGTCATACTGCATACAATCATTCATGTAAGAAATATGGTTCCTATGGGTATATTGGGGAGACATTAATAAAAGTCATCCTAAACACATTCTCAAAACATCCAGATTGTGTTCAGGCAACATTCCTGGGAAAGCTATAAAAACAACTTTTATAACTGAAACCCAAACTATTTTCTTGGTGCTAATTGCTATGGTATGACAGGACTTGAAAAGCTTGAGCCAATACGAATTATCCATTTGATAAACAAGTAGTCATGTGGATCAGCTTTAATTCCCGAAACTTTCAAGTGATACGATTGGCAGCTAGCTTGCTGCTTAGATTGTCATCAGAACCCCTTCAAATTTTAAATAAGACAGTATACTCTTTTTGAGCCATCATGTCACAGTTCAAAATAAATATATTTTTATTTGAAGTTTGTTGTTTCTAATTTTGAGTTTTTTTGCAGGATTATTATTGAAATAAAAACATACTTTTCTGCTACCTGCCGTGGTTCTGAACTGATATACATTACATGACCAAAAGTATGTGCTCGTTGAACATCTCATTCCAAAATCATGGGCATTAATATGGAGTTGGTCCCCCCTTTGCAGCTATAACAGCCTCCACTCTTCTGGGAAGGCTTTCCACTAGATGTTGGAACATTGCTGCGGGGACTTGCTTCCATTCAGCCACAAGAGCATTAGTGAGGTTGGGCCCTGATGTTGGGCGATAAGGCCTAGCTCGCAGCCTGCGTTCCAATTCATCCCAAAGGTTTTCGATGGGGTTGAGGTCAGGGCTCTGTGCAGGCCAGTCAAGTTCTTCCACACCGATCTCGACAAACCATTTTTGTATGGACCTCCCTTTGTGCACGGGGGCATTGTCATGCTGAAACAGGAAAGGGCCTTCCCCATACTGTTGCCACAAAATTGGAAGCACAGAATTGTCTACAATGTCATTGTATGCTGTAGCGTTAGGATTTCCCTTCACTGGAACTAAGGGGCCTAGCCCGAACCATGAAAAACTGCCCCAGACCATTATTCCTCCTCCACCAAACTTTACAGTTGGCACTATGCATTCAGGCTGGTAGCTTTCTCCTGGCATCCGCCAAACCCAGATTCGTCCGTCGGACTGCCAGATGGTGAAGCCAGAGTCCAATGGTGGCGAGCTTTACACCACTCCAGCCGATGCTTGTCATTACGCATGGTGATCTTAGGCTTGTGTGTGGCTACTCGGCCATGGAACCCCATTTCATGAAGCTCCCGACGAACAGTTATTGTGCTGATGTTGCTTCCAGAGGCAGTTTGGAACTAGTGAGTGTTGAAACCGAAGACAGACGCTTCAGCACTCGGCGGTCCCGTTCTGTGAGCTTGTGTGGCCTACCACTTCGCGGTTGTGCCACTGTTGCTCCTAGACATTTCCACTTCACAATAACAGCACTTATAGTTGACCGGGGCAGCTCTCTAGCAGGGCAGAAACTTTACTAACTGACTTGTTGGAAAGGTGGCATCCTATGACTGTGCCCCGTTGAAAGTCACTGAGCTCTTAAGTAAGGCCATTCTACTGCCAATGTTTGTCTATGGAGATTGCATGGCTGTGTGCTCGATTTTATACACCTGTCAGCAACGGGTGTGGCTGAAATAGCCAAATCCACTAATTGGAAGGGGTGTCCACATACTTTTGTATATATAGTGTAGCTCAAGGAGAAAACAGAACATTCCTTTGTGAAATAAAGGTACCATAGGGCCCACACAAGCTGGGTGTACACTACTAAAAACTTTAATTTTGTTATCAAGGAATTGTCAGCGCAATCACAGGCAAGCCCATGGATGCCTTGGGGTTCACAGCCATAGCAATAGCCTGAGGCAGATGTTGTTAGAGAGTTTAGGATGCCCTCTAATGGATTATAGTGGTAATCCTTGTCCAATGTGAATGGGAAAGAACGCACTTGTTTCACATACTGTATGTCCCACACAGCTGAATGAGGTTGACATATATGTAATATGGTAATGAATCATTGTGTATGACTACATATAGGGTACTAGGGACTCACCCTGGGGCAGAGCTGGGTAGAAGAGGCAGACTGAACCCAGAGGACCGAGCACCATCATAGTGAGCCTTGCCGGTATAGCCAGGGATGGTGGGGCGGCTGGGACAAAAATATTAGAGAATCAAGTTTTATACATTTGCACATTATTCATATATTGCATATAGTCCACAATGGAAAAAATGTTGATGTATATCCAATAGAATACAATTTAATGAATGAAACTATAAACAAACAGATAATACGTTTGAGTGTGATTCCAATCTTACTAGACTCTTCAATGCCACCAATAATGCTTTGTGTATTATTAGTGAAGGTATCTTGTATAAGTGAAGGTGTATGCTTTATATTGGGCAGTGTGGTGTATAATGATCAGTGAAGGTACACTACCGGTCAAATGTTTTAGAACACCTACTCATTCAAGTGTTTTTCTTTATTTTTACTATTTACTACATTGTAGAATAATAGTGAAGACATCAAAACTATGAAATAACACATATGGAATCATGTAGTAACCAAAAAAGTGTTAAACAAATCAAATGTTATATTTGAGAATCTTCAAATATCAACCCTTTGCCTTGATGACAGCTTTGCACACTCTTGGCATTCTCTCAACCAGCTTCATGAGGTAGTGACCTGTAATGCATTTCAATTAACAGGTATGCATTGTTAAAAGTTAATTTGTGGAATTTATTTCCTTAATGCGTTTGAGCCAATCAGTTGTGTTGTGACAAGGTTGGGGGGCATACATAAGATAGCCCTTTTTGGTAAAAGACTAAGTCCATATTATGGCAAGAACATGGAGGAGGAGGTGTTATGGTGTGGGGATGCTTTGCTGGTGACACTGTCTGTGATTTATTTAGAATTCAAGGCACACTTAACCAGCATGGCTACCACAGCATTCTGCAGCGATACGCCATCCCATCTGGTTTGGGCTTAGTGGGACTATCATTTGTTTTTCAACAGGACAATGACCCAACACACCTCCAGGCTGTGTAAGAGCTATTTTACCAAGAAAGAGAGTGATGGAGTGCTGCATCAGATGACCTGGCCTCCACAATCCCCCGACCTCAACCAAATTGAGATGGTTTGGGATGAGGTGGACCGCAGAGTGCTCAGCATATGTGGGAACTCCTTCAAGATTGTTGGAAAAGCATTCCAGGTGAAGCTGGTTGAGAGAATGCCAAGAGTGTGCAAAGCTGTCATCAAGGCAAAGGGTGGCTATTTGAAGAATCTCAAATATAAAATATATTTTGATTTGTTTAACACTTTTTTGGTTACTACATGATTCCATATGTGTTATTTCATAGTTTTGATGTCTTCACTATTATTCTACAATGTAGAAAATAGTAAAAATAAAGAAAAACCCTTGAATGAGTAGGTGTTCTAAAACTTTTGACCCGTAGTGTACATCATGAAGATACATACTGTGCCGTGGGAGTGTATGGGGGCAAAGTGGTCCGCTGCATAGTCAAGGGGTAGAAGTCATGTCCTGTCTTATCTATGTTGTCCATGTTCATGGATCCCACCACACCACTCCAATAACATAAAGAGGACACACAAAAAGCAAGTCCAGTCACACTCAGAGACAGATTTTCACTCTTCCATAGAGGCACTGCTTTAGCCTACACATGAACCTACAAACAAACAAATTGATGTGAAAAAAATAATATATATATATATAAATATATTACTAAAAGTTGCCAATAGCACAAACAGAGGCTAGAACTGCTTACCCATACAATGGAATTTGACAGGTGTTTGGGCAGGAACTGGTGCTGTGAAATAAAATGAAACAATCTTAGAACAAAAAAAACAGGCTTATTTTTTCAACGAGACAATCTAGCAAAATCCGTTCTTGTTATTACATCATGAAATAAGGCTAGGCCAAAACACTCACAATGTTATAGGTTTCCGCACTTCATTCCTAGCACGAAGCTGGTGTCTGTTCCAATGGGCTCCAATCGCCTTAGAGAAGAGTTAGAAGCAGCACTATTTTTTACATTATTTGTTAGTTTAGGATGTCCCATTAAAACCAAATTCTATAATTACAATTGGGATGGACAGTATTTAAATTAACTTCAGTGTTGTGTATTTTCTAGACACATGCACTCACCTGCCACAGCTCTGGTTTGTTGTGGTAACACTTCTGGGTAAAATGCTGATTCACAGGGTCTGCCATTTTCTCAAGGGTGGTTGCTGGGGGCTTCAGGCGCCGCGGTAATTTTGTGTCCCAACCGACGTCCTCATAGCCCCTGCAAGTTAATATATTACAAGGCATGGTGACACACTTAGGCCTACACTGTTTGTGTGTTATTCAGAAAACATACACACATTAGAATATAACTGGATGCTATGGTTGCAAGGTCTCCATCATGCAAAAGGTCAAAGAAACCATATGATACATATCAGAATGGAACACAGTGACTATACTCTGCTGCACAATGTGTTTGAGAGAAAATATGAAGGTCCTGGGTGGCACCTGACCTCTGAGCCACTGAAGTGTAGATATAACGCAGTGCTGCCTTCTCTATCCATTGACTGGAACCAGAGGGTCTGACTTCCTTCAAAATCAAACACATCAACAATCAACAAGATTTCACTTCACTGCTTTGAAACCGTTGAAAATGTATCATTATGTAAACTTATAGGGTTATAACATACCAAGTTCTCTCTTTCAGGGAAAAACCCGAAGAATTTCACTGTACATGGCATTTTGGGAGGCTCTGGTTTCACCTTCGAATGACTTGTCCAACCTTTTGATGACATATTAGGCTAGTAAAGTGTGGGAAACTGCCAGCCTATTTGGCATGGTGGGCTACAGTGAGATGTTGGATTTACTTACATACAGTCTTTATAACAAAATAAGTAAATTTGCCTAAAGAATTGGGTCGGCTTATGTGTATTATGCTATACTGTCAGCCTTATAAGTGTACTTCACATTAGGCTTTATAATTAGTCCTAGGCTACTTTAAACTCTAATTTTACCTCCAAGACTGGCCCGAAGAGCTGCGTCTGGCATTGTCCTTGAGTTCCATGCCTTGTTTTCGGACAGGTCGCATGTCCCGGCTGATGGCCTGACTAGAGGTGTCTGGGGCCTTTCTCTGGAACCGGGGGCGACCCATAATCCAGACGGAATATAAGGAATATCTATAAATTGAGGTCTTCCTTTAGTTGCCAAATCCACCTCAGCCCCCGCACTTAGATGCCCATTGCACGGATCAATCAACAAGACCTCATCTCGTAAAGGCGCCAAGGGCGCATTGTCGGCAGGTGGATGGGCCAGTAGGTTGAATTTCGAGAATGCACTCCTCTGTTGTTCTAGTAAGCTGTTAAAGTAATATCTTCCCTCGGGACCTCTCTCGCAGGGCAAGTTCATTTGCCTGTGCATCCATCTTGCACCAACTCGGTTTACATTTGATTGTAGAAGTCTGACCCGGTGCAAATCCGTAGAGGATGGCTCAGATGGAACGCATACTCCAGCCATCGTTTAAAACAGACACCGAGTGACAGACCAAGAGAAAAAATGAATTAGACCCACTATTGCTTGAGTCACAGAGCCTTTGTTGGATAACTATGACGAAGTCAAGGCAGCTATGACTTTTCTGCGTCTCTTGTTGCCTGGAGACTGCAATGTTGGCTGCTGGGTCAAATTACTGATTTGGAAAGAGGAGCACCCTTTGAAGGATTTAAGCAAATCAATCAATTTAATCAGAGAGAGAAAATAAGATTACATGTTTGTAATATAGTTTAGCTATAAAACACTTTATGCGCATTTGTGGTGGTTGTTTGAGTGGTGGTGGAGCAAAAATGATCTAACTCAGGGGAGGATATTACAAGGAGAATTTGGAGAATGGAGCTCCCCTGTAATTTGGAGGAAATTCAAAATAATAATAAATACATTTACTCACTTCAGTATGCACTGTACAGCGGGCCTTCTCTTTGGTGTTATTTAATGTGCATTATGTTCAGCAATACCTATAAATGATCACTAGATGGAGGCACAGATCCACTATCTATGACAATTCAGTATTCTAATAGTAATTGTCGGCCTACAATTTCGGCCTAGTGGATATGTGAGACTACCAAATAAGTATTCTTGGACAAAAACAGTATGGGGACAATAATATAATACGTTTGAAGTTGTTGCATGTTAACTATCCAGTGTGAAAATTAAAGTTGCACATTGAATATTCAACCAAAGATAGTGCTGACAGTCTGACATGAGACTATAAGAAATAGCTGACTTTTAATTTGAAGAAAGAAAACTACAGTATGTACATTTGATACACAATGATTGTTCATTTGTAAATTACTTGATCTGGTGATATTGTTGTTCTGGCTGCAAAGGGCTGTTTTGTTATGTGCAGTGGAGCAAAAATACATCAAATACAGTCTGCTTCAGTGCCCATATATTAGGAGACGCTTGGGTTCTTAAAATTGCAATTTGAAAAGTAAATGTTTGTGTAAATAAATTGAAACTCTTCCTTATGAAATACTATTTTACAATTATATGGTCATCTCAATCTCCATTGTTCATTGTGGCTAAATTAAGGCCTATTTATGCTCTGATCTTGAGCGATAATTCATTCTAATCTAGGCTGTCATAGTGATGATGGTGACGTCTGTTGATGGATGATCTTTACTCAGGCTGTATTTAGCTAACATAAACATGTACATGTTAAAAGTGCTGGGTTAAAAATAGCCTAATTAGTTATTCTGATAACTGTGTGCTGTGAAAAGCACACTGCTTGTCTCTCACAGTGTGCTTCACTCAAGGGTGTCTCAAATGACACTTGGCTTTTCACAAAACTGAATAGGCCTACCTTATTAATAATACAACCATTTACCAAGTCAATCTACTTATTGTAGTATGTGTCAGGTCGTATGTGTCAGGTACAGTATATTTGCCCTGGCATAGAATAATATTGAAAAGTTCAATGTCCATTACTCCCGAGGTCAAATAATTAATTTCACCCAGGGCCCTATTTATAACTTCTCATTCAAAATGTATTCTACATGATATCCCATCATTTATTTCAATTCATGTGTTTTTTTTATTCCAGTTATGTAGCAGGAAAAGCTATTAAAGAATTGAAACCCTCCCCTTGCCCCAGGATGAAAGTATTTTTGGCAGGGACATGGGTATTTCTGGAGTGAGAAATCATTTCCGTTGAAGCAGTCCTTGTTACAGTATTCTCTGTTATTAGTCAGCTTGTCTGCCTCTTTCTCCTCCTCTGCAGTATCGGAAATGATTTAAATCTCACATCTATCCCATGGTGTCGGGCCTAACACTACTGCGATGCAGCGACTAATCTGAAAAGTTTGCATTCTGTAAGAAAATGCAGCTTTGGAATTTGGAGCTGTTGTGATGCAGAGGGTCATTAAAGCAAAGTCATGATTTTAGTGTTGTTGTCGTAGGCAATGTGTGTGGGGTTGATTCTCCTCCTGGGCAGGGATTATTTTAAGCAATCAGACAACTGGCTGAAGACTGATGGTGACCCAGATCAGGCAATCTTGATGGGAGAAAGAGAGACAGATACTGTGGGGAGGGCATGGATCTGTGGGGTCTTAGGTTCAAGAGTGCATCACAAACCTATAAATAAAACTGGTCCAGCAATAATTAATTGGATATTGTTTTAATCTTTAATGGAATTCCAAAATCTCAATGTAACACATAAATACATACTGGAGTGGTAAGTTAGCCAGAAAAGCTGATAACCAAAAGGAAAAAAGGAAATAGTGGGGCATTCCAGAAGAAGCTCTTGGGTCTCGTGATGGCCTGTGAGAAATCTGATCTATAGGGGTCCTTATGCATGAGGTATGTGCACTTAAATATAAGCTAGACATAAAGAGAATCAAACACTGTCCATTCATGTTTGTTTTTTTTGTACTGGTTGCTTGGAGTACAGTATATCCATATGTCTATCTAAACTCATTAAAATGTATGGCCATATATTTATAACCTCGTGCTGTAGGTCATGGCACTTGGGATGTATGCATCATACTGTAAAGAGGCAGTGAATTGATCACTGGCCATGCATAAGCGTTGACTCAGGGCAAAGTGGATGGAGTAGATTCTGTCTCATGTTGTACCTCCAACCACTGGAAAAAATTCTAACAGAATGCTGAGATGAAAACTCCCATGAGCACCAGGGGCAGTCATGTCCTCTGAGAGTGGCCAAGGGCTTTATTGTGTTACTGCTTCCCTGCCCTCAGTCGCTCCTGCTCTGTACTTGTCACACTCAGTTAGTTCAATGAAGTCATGAATATGCCTCTGTACATTTTTCATGAAGGAAGTGGGGGGCGAAAAATCTCCACTTTATAATGCTTCTAATGTGGAGCTTTTCACACACATTCTTTCCCCAAACCAGCCTCTAAGGCGCAATCATGACGCTGTATGAGCATGATGGTTAATGTTCACATTCCCCAAAGCTGAATATTATTGAAAATCATCATATACCAATGTCATGCTCAGTGAAGCTGTCAGAGACTAGGAAACATACAGTACATACAGATGAGGAATTAATGAGTAGTTAGAACTCATGAAAGAAAAGTAAGCAACCTACCTACGCAAACAAAGGTCTACCTTGCTGGAGAAAAGTGATGAGTCACCTCATGAAGTTTTCTCCTGTTCATTCCCATCACTAATTCAGCTGTGGAGTCTTCCACTAAACATACTGCTAATTAAAGCTTTTTATGGGTGTTCAACCTAACCTGGATTATGCAACTGAAGCATAGTGCTTCAAAGAATAATGCAAATATACATAAGCACTGTTAAAAATAAATGTATTAGCTGAAAATCCAACCATATTGGTTGATGTTGATGCATTATTTTAGTAATAGAACAGCAATGACTGAATATGTATAACTGTTTAGGTCAATGGTCTATGACTGAAATATGGAATTCAATTTTTGGCAAGCGCCTATGTTTACACCCATTTGTACTTAAATCAAATCGGTTTTTAATATGTAGACCATGACCCAGCATTACAAGGCTACAGAACATACAGTATTATGCATCAATTATTCCTCAGAAACAAACTGTATTCAGATGGTTTATCATAGGAAGCAATAGGAAATTGCTCACAGGAAACAATCTACCCAAAGAAATGTCAGACCCATTCCCGGTATATATGTTCTGTGTAGTATATTCCATAGGTGAGGCAGAAGAAAGAGACAACTCTGGATGTGGCTAAGCTCTTTATCTGTGTGCAATAATACATCTCTGATTTTGAATTAAGATAGTAAGAGTTTACATTAGGCAAAGAAACCCTGAGGGTAATGGACTTTCTCTGTTGCTCAGAGAAATGGGCTTGTCTTCAGAGACCTCTGTTTCCATTATTAAACAACCCCACTATTGCCTAGCCAAGCTGTTTTCATTCCCACCGACCAAAGTGGAATTACCTGCTTTTGAAACTTAAATGCAGCAAATGCAGTGCCTCAGTCAGTCACTCTCTAACCCATAATTGCTGTCAGGTATCTGGAGGCTTGATATCCTTTAGGAAAGACTAAATAAAACATGTCAAGAGTTGTTTACGTTTCATTCTGACACAACCGTGTTGTTCACAAACTAGAAACCCGCAGGGAGAATATGGGCAATCAATTATACTGTAGGCCAAGTAATATATGCACTGTGTGCTCTGACAGCGCGTATCAATTGGTAGATGATGAATTACAATACGAGGGCCACAGCAAATGGTGGGTTGCAAATACTAAGTCGAGCAAAGAGAAAGGCTGCTTTCTTTATGATAACACAATCCTGCCTACAATCTGACTGACAGCTAGTTATGCAGATGTGCCTATCAAAACAATGCTCTCCGTTATTGAACCACCTGGAATGCATCCAGTAATCAGGTCACACCAGTTAGCTGCCTCTCTCTGGAGGAGATTGTGTTGCAGTGTTGTCCTAGTAGACGTGTAGTCCTTATCTTATCATTCACCCATTTGGATGGAAAACAAGCCATGATGGATAGAGCTAGATTAAATCCCCAATTTCCATTAGGCAGGTACTTTTGGGAGAAGGGGAGACGTAGACATGATTTTCTCTCTTCACACAGTGTTCATTAGCGATTGATGTTGATATGGAGGTAAAGCGTTGCCTGTTGCTGAGGCTGGTCTCTGATACAACACCTGGACCCTTTTCAATCAAACATGGTGACTGGGATTCTGGGATATAATGCTATGGTATGTTACAGAGATGTTGGCGTTTCACCCCTGTGACTGTGTCAACCACATCTGAATGTAACCCCATCCAGAAATGTGAAATTCCAAATGTGAACGTGTGGCTGAGAGCAACATTTTACATTTACATTTTAGTCATTTATAGTTAGTGAGTGCATACATTTTTCAACAGACGAGACATAATACTGAATCTGAAGCACAATTTGAGGCCAGTCAAGACTCTCTAGAGCTCAGCATTCAATCATGAACAGATTAACTTAAATTGATCAAGGAGTGCCAGGTCACATGGGAATGTTACTGTAC